TATTTTCACCAAAAGAATTTGTCGACAACATTCCAATGACTCACATTGACTGCTCACATCAGAAACAGTCTATTCAAACTGGATCTGTCGTTATGAGATTGGAATTTGAAACAGCTAAAGAGATTCCGGATAACACTTCTGCATATTGTTTGATTCTACATGATAAATTATTCAGCTATAGTCCATTGACAAAAATTGTAAAGCAATTATAGATTTTCTCACCCCTCCTCTTCATCCTCTTTTTCATCACATGAAAGAACAAAAAATAATAATTTCAGTTGTTCCTTGACTAACCATGAAGGTACTCAGTTGTGACATTCAGGGATTTTCGTTATCAAATACGTTTTATCCCAAAGAATTGTCAATTTCAAATGGTCATCAAATAAACAATTATCTTTTCAAACCACCAATTCCATTTTGTGCACTTCCCGAATCAGACAAGAAACAGGTTAGATGGCTTGAAAGGAATTTCCATGGAATAACATACTCCTCGGGATTGATAGAGTACAGTGAATTGCATAATATTTTACTTGGTCATTTCAAAGATGTGGATATTGTGTACGTTCGTGGACATCAAAAGCTTGAATTTCTTAAAACATTATTCATGTCGACAACTAAACCAACTATAATCAATATCGAGGATTTTGATAATGTAATGGATACAATAAAATTCAAGGCAGACACTCCTCTGTGTTTTTTCCATGAAAATGATTCTGTAATGTGTTCGGTGAGAAACTCTAGAGACCTTCATTTTTGGATAAATAGCCTACTGCCACAATAATATTGACATTCACTATAGTGAGGCTATAGAGAACATGTCATCAGCTGTTGTCCAACATATCGATAATTTGAAGGAACTAAGAAGATCCATAAGCATGTATGAGCTCATCAAGAAATTCCACAGTGTTCAAATTAGCACCAAAGAAATGGAAAAATGGAATCGAGCAGTGTTCCAGAATCGAAAACGATTTCAACAAGGACCATCAGCGACATCATATAAACGAATTAGTCTTAAGTGTTTCATAGACAAATAAATATTTAACTGACAATCTATTTATTTTACCCCCATCTATAAAATCTCATAAATAGTCGAATAAACCAAAAATAATCAACAGTTCATAATCAGAAATGGGTGAATTGAGATCTTGCTTTATCATTTTGGCTACCATAAGTCAAAATATATTTTATATTCATCGACCGTATAATTCCAAAGAAGTATTCATCTCATTCGATATAAACGGAATAAAAAATGATACCTGGCCTGACCTATATCAGAGAATGAGTCCCACATTAGTGAACGATGGACACTTGTCAGCCTTCATGATTAAAATACCAGCAAACGCGAGTCTGTATAAATTAAGAGTCGTGTTTCAAGACAGTAGCATAGGTGATTCGAATGATTGGAAGGAGTTGTATACTGTTAAACCGGTGAACAATAGTGGTCTAGTCAAACAAAATATTGATTTACATATTATACTAACTGTTATTTACTTACTTATTAGCATAGTTATGTTACTACTAGTCCTATATTCATTGAAAAAAATTTCGAAAATAAAGAAACTTGTTTTTCACATTGTTGAGAGACATGTAGAATAAAGATTTTTTAAAGATGTGTTTCATTTATGCAATAAAACAACTATATACGTACTGCTCGGTCTACAATTATTCAGATATGGCTAGTGCAAAGTCGTAAAACCCCCTTGGTGTACACAAAACACTGGAACTAAAGTGTTTTTCTTTCGTAAAAATAATACATAAGTTTCAAACTTGCAGTATTAAAAAAACACTGATTTTGAACTATCACTTGAGTGTTTTTCATGAAAATAACAGATAAAATTCAAAATGGCCAATTTTCAAAATTATATGTCATTTGCAATACAAAAAAAAAAACACTGACACTATCAATTTTGGATAGGTGTATCTTACTAAAGAAATACGACTACCTATTATAGGAAACAAATTTAATTTACGAAGAAATCTGCAAAAATACAAAGAGATATAATTATACGCTTAATAAATGTCAAGGTAATTTTTACCATCTGATGGCCAGTACCGACACGAATGGGCCCTGTTCCCAGTAAAATAACCGGTACCCCCTCAGCCTCCCGAAACGAGTGTATTCGGCCGGCGCCAGTCCGTGCCGATCACCCACCAAAGTGAAGAACATCTTGTTCTAAAAAATATTGTCTTCTAAGTACCGCATATTTGTTAAAAAAAAATCTACATACTTTCAATCTTTCTGGTAACCTGGCTCTAATTTCTTCATATGTGAATTCTGAAATAAAAAATTGACTGTAGTGAACTCAAAAGTTTTTGCTTGATAGTTTTTCAGAGAGCTACACTTTGTATAAGAATTTTTAAGTTTTTGCTTGAAATTTGTACCCATACTGGAATATATTGACGTCTCCTAAACATGTCTCAACTATCAATACATTTGTCAATTAAATATTTCAATGCCAAAAATTCACCTACTGAAATACAATATTTACTGCAGTGAAAATACGTTATTTTTGTACACCCGAAAATTGAATACCACCTTTCCTTACTAATCAAGTACACAGGGAAACAGTTATTCACGATTCCTAAGAGGTTTTTTTCATTTTTGGACAGACAATAGAGGTACCCAATAAATAAATACCACTTTTCCATCCAAAGCAAGTTTATAGTTCAATATTTCATACTCGTTGCGAATATTTCAATGCCGAAAATTAGCAAAAACTGATCGCTACACTATAAAAAAATCAATAATTGACTTACCCATGGTATCTTCAATGCACTTCAACTGTAAGTGAAGTTGCAATGCGATTTCGAAATGCATTTATAGTATATTGAATAAAAAACTGAAGTCGAAATAACGGCAGTACCTAGATTTTTGTGACCCACAGAAATCTATAAACTCAACATACATCCATATCCAAGTAGTGCATTTTCATGAACAGTTATTAGTTCTGGTATCCTACTGAACTCGTCGCTTCGAGGTCCGTTGACCGAGAATCGTGTTTAATGGTTATGCTAATTGAGTCGTTTTCACTCTCGGCAGAACATAATAAACAAAACCGTAATAATTATAAATGAATGCACAAGGAATTGCTTTCGAATGGAGCGCAGTGGCGCAACCAGAAATATCAGCAAGGTGTACTTATACTGTATGTTCGAACTCTCATAGGTAAGGAAACATGTATGAGAGAGCAAGGGGTACTCTCATAGGTAAGAGAACATATATGAGAGAGCAAGGTGTACTCTCATAGGTAAGGAAACATGTATGAGAGAGCAAGGAGTACTCTCATAGGTAAGGAAACATATATGAGAGAGCAAGGTGTACTCTCATAGGTAAGGAAACATGTATGAGAGAGCAAGGGGTACTCATATTGAAATATCAGAACTCCCATAGGTAAGGAAACATATGTATGGGAGAGCAAGGGGTACTCATTTTGTACGTTCAAAATTTCTGCACTCTCATAGGTAAGAAAGCATGTACGAGAGAGCAGCTGTGCAATCCCTTTGTTTTACTACTGTTATAAATAATAGAATGTAAGTTTTTCATTTGGTTTTTCATTTGAACCTATTATAAATAGAGGGAAATTTTGCATATATCATGAGATCCATATTATTTTGAAGAAATTATCATTTGCATAATACAAGGTGAGTCAATAGTGTGGTATCCTTGTATATTAGCCAAACCATCAGATAAATAGAGAAAATTCAAGTACAACAGCAATAGGGTTCCATGAGAACTTTCACATTAAATTGTTTTCATATCTGTATAGGGTGCTTGAATTCCAAGATATATTGACTGATGATTGTTTTTTTTTCCAAATGGGTCACCCTGTATACTATTGCATTTTTAGGTTCTCCCTGAAGAGCTGATTTCATCAATGTATCACACTTGGGGTCTAGCGGGAATGATTACAGAGATATAGGGTGTTCAAAAACAAGATTTTTCAATTTTAGGATTTTTTTTTGAGGAAACTATTCAATATTGGTCAAAACGGCTCACATTTCCTTATGAACTTTTGATTTACTATCTAATGACATTCAATCGGAACAAATAGAGGGTGGTTCAACATTCAGAATACTGATCAGCTTATTGTATCTGTTCCAAATAAATATCAGTAGATAGCTAATCAAAAGTTAAGACAGGGGCATGTGAGCCGTTTTGACCATTAATGAATAGTTTCGACACAAAAAAACCTACATTTGAAGAATCTCGATTGTCAACACCCTATAGCTCTGTAATAATTCTCACTAGACACCAAGTGTGATGCATTGATGAAATAAACTCTTCAGGAAAAACTCAAAAATGTAATAATATACAAGGTGTTCCATTGAAAAAAACCAATCATCAACCGATATCTTGGAATTCGAACACCCTATAGATATGAAAACAACTTTAGGTGATTGTTCTTATGAAACCCTATTACTGTTGTACTTGAATTTTCATTTTATATATCTGACGGTTTTGCTAATATCGGAGGAGAACACACTAGTGACTCATTCTGTATACGAATAATATTCTCCCATAAATCTTGAACCTCCTTGAAACATCATCAAGAACCGCCTCAAGTTGTTACTATGATGTCCTGAGGTTGTCTCAAAAGATTTTATAGGGATGTTCTGAGACGTTATTAGTATGTAGAGAATGGTAACAGGAGGACGTCTTAAGAATGTCCTCTGGCTCGCTCTCGACGTCCTGAGGACATTATTGTGAACGCCTCAGAAGGGCCTCAAAAGAAATTTGTGCTATCTGGGTAGGGGTGTCGCCCGATACAAAGAACTGGAATTCCTTGGAATTCCTCGAATTTCCTTGGATTTCCTTGGATTTCTTCGAAATTCCCTGGAATTCCTTGGAGTTTCTTGGAATTTCTTGTGTGAAGTGCGGTATAATTCTGGTGTAGAAATAACTGGAATTCCTTGAAATTCCTTGAAATTTCTTGGAATTCCTTGTGGAATTCAAGTTTGGTGTACACAATTTTGATCGTGGTTTACCCCTCGGAAATTACCCATCGTTCGCAGTACATGCCAAAATAGACACGGGAGAAATTTTAACGCCGGTCTGGAAAATCTTCGTGTTGTCAAGTTCCCCCTCTTCGAAAGGTCTGGAATACAGGGTGTTTCCAAATACCGACAGAAAACCGTTGTTCGACGACACGTAGCACTCGTGACACTTTTTCATATAAGTACCGTCTGTGAATTGTCCCAATTTATTGGCATGGAGTAATTGGGGCGTAACGGGATTGACGAACTTATTTGTCTCATTGTCCTACAACAGAAACAATGATTAGTTTATCTACAACTATATGGAGTCATTCATACAATGCTAACTCTATTTTTGGTTTTGGTTCCGCACCTCGTTCAGTACACACGTATATTAAACCAGCCTGCAACCGTTCGTGAAATTACAGTGTATCTACTAGTTATTGCCTATACCTGAAGTCTGTGAGATAATCAAACAGAGTAAGTGACCTGTGCAGAACTATTAACTACCTATTTCAAGTTATCCCAATCCTGGGAAGCAAATTCCTGCTTTTCATTATTCAAAGAGAATCGTCATTGTTTATATTTTGATATTGTGGCATGCTAGCAAGCATGTCCCCTCCCACTACCACCGCTTGCTATCTGTGCACGGAGATTCTGACCGACGGTGATAGCGAAATCAAAGTGTTTTGCTCAGTATGTAAACGCTGCAGCCATGCTAGGTGTGCTCGATCTTCGTCAGGATGGCCCGTCGACGTTTCATCGACGCCGTTCTCTGGACATGTGATGATTGTAAAAGCTCTTCTCGTGCATTCCTGCAGATTAACAATGATCAATTTCGAGCCATTATGGACCAATTCGCAATTTTATCTAATTCAATGGCTACTTGTAACAATAGAATTGAGGATCTCAGCGCCACTCTGTCTGCCCAATCATTAACCTTAGCCAGCTGCCTTGAAGACATATCTTCTCTACATTCCGAGAATCGAGAACTTCGTGGTAAAATCACGGCATTAGAAGACAAACTCAACAACCAATCCCATCTGTCATCCGAGGAAGTCGTGGTCGAGAGCTCTGAAAGAATAAAACGCGAGAAGAATGTTCTGATTATGGGAATTCCTGAAAATACTGCATCTGAGGATCTTAGCTATGCCAAAAATTTGCTTCTCCATATCGCACCTGATTCCGCAGAACAAATTGTGTCTGGGATTCGACTAGGCAAAATAATAGAGTTGAATAAACCCCGCCCCTTCCGTCTAACTTTCAGTTCATCCGAGGTCGCTCTTGAAGTTTTACGAAAAAAATCGAACATCACTCGTAACACACACCCCTCAATCACGATAAAATCCGATAAGACACCGAATCAACTTCAACACCTCAAAAACCTACGTGAAGAACTGAAACTAAGGTCGCAAGTTGAAAATAACCTTACAATTAAATACGTGAACAGAATACCTAAAATTGTTACTACTCCATCTGGAACTATGACAGCCACCAAGAGAGGTCGTGACGAAGTTTTTTCCCCTAGGCGTAAATCTGGAACAAAAATTCCTAAATCCGGACAATCAAGCAAACAATAGCAACCCATGAATATCACATTCTGGAACTGCCACGGACTTTCAAACCTACAGGACTTTGCTAGTGACCATAATAACTTCCATATTCTGTGCCTATCTGAAACCTGGATGACTAATCAATTAGTTCCATCAGCTCATCTGCCAGCTTTTAAAGTTGTAAGCTCAAACGCCATAAGAAAAAAATCATCCGTATCAAGCTAATGACGGGTTAGCAATTTTTTACAATGAACAACTTTCATTAACAATCTTTGATTACACTTCTTGGTGGATTTTTTGTTTGATTAGTCATTCTGGTTGCAAATTCATTTTATGTAATATTTATTTTAAACCTAGTCTAGATATCATTCACTTGTTAGAATTATTTCAATACTCTTCAAGCGAAATTATCGAACAATATGATTTACCAATAATAATCGGCGGAGATTTCAATTCTAGAGTTTCTGACAATTATTCGACTCCAACTGAATTATTCGAGAATACAAACTTGTACCAAGAAAGACGTAGCAGCGACGACATCCTGAATACTCGGGGTCGTAAGATATTAGATTTCAGCATGAATTGTAACGGTCTTTCTTAATCCAACTGAAAAATGTACAGTGTGCAACCAAAACCAACTTGAATCAATCAACCACATGTTTGATTGCCCAATCTATTGTTCAATGAAACCCTTGGATTCAGATTGTTTATCTAGCCCTGATTCTCTGTTCTACGCACTTGAAAACTTGTCGAATGAATCAGCTAAAACGATTGCTCGCTATATTTGGAATGTCCTCAAGCTACGATCCTTCATTTTAAATGAATAATGCTCTATTATTAAGTACAGGTCACTATTATAATTTTGTTAGTTTTTCTTAGTCGCTATAAATTAGATAATAATATGTTAGGTATAGTTGTAATGCTCTCTTGATATATATATAAACATTAGTGCCAAACATACTTGATAACCAAACCCTTGCTGTAAAACTGTCTGTTTTTGAAAGCAATAAAGTTAATTGAATTGAATTGAATAATTGCTAACTCTATTGTCAACATTTAATGACAGACATTATCGTGATGAATCGAGTAATAAAGTAATAATGACAGTAGGATATGGCGTAATAATCTGACATCCCATCGTCTCGTCAAATTCAACTAGGTAGGTATTCGTTCTACTAGTTCTACTAAAGCACACCACTATACTACTGTTTGTGAAATACACGCAAATTCAAAAGACGCACCTAACATGGTTTTCATAGTTTTAATCACCTTTATTTTACAAATACACGGAAAAATGAGAATTCATTCTCAACAGTGACTACCATCATGAGTAACCATGACCATAAAATAGGACTTGACACTTGACAGTTGCAGATTAGCTCACACTTATGTGCGGACTATTCGAATAGATTGGTACAGACCAATCAGAACCATGGAACTTCATTGTTGATAACTAGCGTCTAGAGACATTGTACTACAATTAATCATCGCGGTGGCAGAATGCTATAGCGGAAGCAAGTTCATGAATAATCTGCAATAGTATGATTCATTTTACAACTGAAAAGTGAAATGGCATATGATACCTGGTAAGATTGACAGATATCAAATGTTATTGAAATAAGTTATAAGCTGTTTGTTGATTGAAATTTCTGTCAATAAGTTTTCGATGGAATTAATGAGTGTTTCAAATCAGATTTAGTGATTTCGCAATATAATAACCTTCATTATTTCCAAAGATATATTTCTGAACTCTCAGAGTTGCTTTGATATTTGAATAGTTGAAGATAAAGTATAGTATTCTACTCGCAAACAATGATTATTACCCACTCAGATAATTACAGCACTCGCCTTCGGCTCGTACTGCAACTTTCATCTTCGTGGGTAATAGAGCCATCATTATGCGCTCGTTGAATAATATACTATTACCTCAGCGACAAACTATTGATCCACCAAAAATATAGATGAAGGTTAATCATTACTGAGTAAAAATCAATCTAATCAAGTCCGATTCTTTTATTGTTTTCTTCATAACAAAGGTAACTTCATAAGGATTTAAGTGAGAATTGCTTAGCAGTGTGCACGTGTAGATTTACAAATAATTCTACAAATTGTTATATATCGTAGCAGAGTGCTTTCGACTATAAAGTCAGTGCATACCTCTGTAAGCAATTCTGTAAGTAAGTAATCAGCTTTCAGCTTCTGAAAAAGACGGAGGAAATAGCAGTTATTACATTTTGAATTTGAAATTGGTAAAAGTGAGGTTACTATCACAAGTCAGGTTGACAATAAATTCCCCATTAAAATATCTTTGGTTCTGTTAGGTAATATAAACATTATGACTTAGGTACGGTACAAACATAGTGAAATTCATTTCCCAAACTGGGATAAATCGCGGATTACACTTCTTAAGCAGCCAACAAGGCTGAATGCATAGGTACTGTCATGTTGAAGTGAATTTGTTAAATGACCTAACAGTATAGAATAGAATAGAATAGAATAGAATAGAATAGAATAGAAATTTATTCATCATTGAAAATTCTACATCTGTATTACATACATTTATAAAATTTTATCAGACTAGTCAAGAACAGGAATAAAAACATTTGAACAGACACAAACATTTTAAAATAGAAGTTAAAGGATTAAAGTTTTATAATATTGAATACTCATTTAGATTGTAAAAATTCCTCAACAGAGTAAAATGCATTTTGGACTAGATGATTGTATAGAGCTGATTTAAAACTTCCTAAGCTACATGCGTTTCCAAATAGTTTGAGTGCATGGTTTTAGCAAATGATACCTTGATAACTCGCAGAGTCCTGTCCCAGAGCCAAACGAGAATAAGGTAGTCTTAGTTCATTACCTCTTCTAGTATTGTAGATGTGGAACATATTATTTTTGGTGTGGTGTGTTTCATTTTTTCTAATGTGCATTGTAATCGTATAAATGTAGAGGCTGGGTAAACTCAGTATGGCCAGTTGGATGAATGTACTCTTACATGATTCTTTGTAATGTAGACCAGCTAGACATCTTATCACTTTTTTTTGAATTTTAAAAGCTTTTATTGCATGTGCCGAGTTCCCCCAGAAAGGCAATCCATATGATAAAATGGATTGTACAAGTCCATAGTAAATCAGCTTAAGTACATGTAGCGAGACTGTTTCTCGTAATTGTTTTATTACAAAGCACATACTGCTCACTTTCGTGACAAGGTTTTCTATATGTACTTCCCATGTTAATTTCTGATCTACAGTCAGGCCTAGATACTTAAACTGACTCACTTGCTCTATGGAGTTGTGATTAACTCTTATTAGGGGACAGTGATCATACGAAATGTTTTTTTGTTGGAAAACCATGAAGACCGTTTTACTATTATTGATTATCAAGCCATTATTTTCACACCATCTGGCGAATTCTTCTGCAGCTGAGTTTGCTGATTTTATAGAGAGCGACAGTTTATTATCTGCCAATATTTTACTTGTATCATCTGCATAGATTATCGTTTTTTGCTGGACCATACTCGCGAGTTCTATGTCACTCATGAATATTATAAAAAGAAGAGGCGCAAGAGTTGACCCTTGAGGAACCCCAATTGACACAGACGCAGGTTGTGATTTCACAGAATCAATAACTACGACCTGCGATCTGTTTTTTAGATATGATGCCACCCAATCGTTGGCAACCCCTCTGATTCCAGTTCGATATAACTTCTCCAGTAGTAAGCTATGGTTCACTGTATCGAACGCTCTAGTTAGGTCAAAGAACAAAACAATTGGGAATTGTTTGTTATTTAGTTGCATATATATGTCGTTGCAGAGTTCGTTTATTGCAGTTGAAGTCGATCTTTGTTGTCTAAAGCCATGTTGGCAGCTGGGAATAAGTTTGAAATATTCAACAAATTTAACAAGCCTTAGGTAGTAGCTGAAATCTATAATTTTTGCAATCTGCGATTGCAGGCACACATTTCGGTAGTTGGCCAACTCATTTTTCGACCCTTTTTTTTTATAAATAGGTACCGATTTAGACATTTTCAGCGCTTCCGGGTATGTTCCATCAACAAACGATTTATCTATTATGTGAGATAGTGGATAGCATATTAAATCACCAACAATTCTTAGAGCCTTGCCATTAATTTCATCTATACCGGGTGATGGAGTTTTTGTTGTTTTTGTGATAATATCTTGTACCTCCATATATGTTGTCGGGTACAGGAATAATGTAGAATTTGAGAAGGGGGACAATTTCAGATTATTTATTTTTGGTTCTGTTTTTTCGATTCCCATGAAGAAATCATTGAAGTGATTGCCAATGCTGGCTTTGTCTGTGACATTATGATTATTAATAGTGAGCTCAAATTTGTCATTGGTATTTGTATTTTTCCTCCTTTCATTAATAATTTTCCAGCTCTCCTTGCTTATGTTATTTGCATTCAGTATTCTTTTGTTGTTATATTCTGCTTTAGTTTTTTTCACCAATTGTTCATAAAGATATTTCAGTTCAGTATATATTTGCTTTCATTACTTCAGCACCTTCTGTTCGGTCATTTATCAAGTTCACTTCAACACGACAGTATGCATTCAGGCATGTTGGCTGCTCAAAAAATGTAATCCGCAATTTATCCCAGTTTGGAAAATGGAGTTTAATATGTTTGTACCGTGATAATTAGCCATAATGATTATATAACTCAACTTATAAACACCTCAATACTGCAACCAAAAATGACCACATAGCTGTATGCCAGCGTCATCAGGCCTATGATAGCATATGGGTCAGTAGTTTGGTGGCCAAAGACACAACAGGCTGGAGTGATTCGAAGGCTCAGTGCTATTCAAAGGCAAGCGTGCCTGAGTGCCACTGGTGCAATGAAAACCACTCCAACAGCCGCTTTAGAGGTCCTCTTGAACCTACCACCACTACAAATATATATTCAAGGCGGAGCCAGAGCAGTCGTGAGTAGATATTGTCAAGGGGTCAAGCACCCATAAGCAACGCGCACGGTAAAGACTATAGGAAGCTATATGGAGAGTTGGAAAGCGACCCCATCCTGGGGATGCCAACGGATGGCATAATTCCAAAATATAGCTTTGAAAAAACTTTTAAAATAAGTATAACGGACAGAGAGGCATGGAAGGAAGGACCTCCTATCAATGCAGACATTGCTGTCTATACGGACGGCTCCAAAACTGATGAGGGATCAGGAGCTGGTATTTATGGGACCAAGCCAAAGACAAGAATCTCACTGAGCTTAGGCAAATACGCGACGGTGTTTCAGGCAGAAATTATTGCAATACATCATTGCGTGAAAGAATTGATAAAGCAAGAGTTTAAAGGCAAAACCATTGCAATCTATTCAGATAGCCAGGCGGCAATCAAAGCAGTCAACTCTATGCAAGTTAACTCAAAACTAGTATGGGACTGCTTAGAAACCTTAAATGCATTGGGCAGTCAGAACAGATTGACTCTAGCATGGGTACCAGCACATACAGGGTACGAGGGCAATGAAGAGGCAGACTCACTTGCCCGAGCAGGAGCAAACAAAGCTCTTAATGGCCCAGAACCCTCCTGTGGTATTGCGAAAGCTATACAAAAGACTAGTATCAAATCACGGATGCAAACCAAATCTCAAGAATGGTGGAACAACTCGCCAGGAATGAGACATCAGGCTAAAGAGTTCATTAAAAAACCATCGCCAACATTCACAGAATATCTACTAAGCCAGAAACGAAGTTCAACTAAATAGAATACTAGTGGGACTTCTCACAGGGCATTGTAGGCTCAACAAACACATGAGTACGATAGGTCTGACTGAAGAACTGCTGTGCAGGTTCTGTCAAGAAGAGGAAAAAACAGCAGTACACATACTTTGCCACTGTGAGGGCTTGTCAAGACTAAGGTTCCTTACGCTGGGTGAGGAAAAACCAGGAGCCCAGAGATACACAGGAGATCTGAAAGCTAGCCTATGGAGTCTCATAGAGAAGGCGGGGCTAGCCGAAGAACTCTAATCGATTTTGAGGGCAGACACAATAGATCTGAAAAGGTCGCAGTGTGGAGGCAGATAGCCCGAAGGCCCCATTCCAAATCTAATCTAATCTAATCAAAACACCTCAATATAACCTAACAGAGCCAAAGATATTTTTATAGGGAATTTCTTGTCAACCTGACGAGTAAGTATATAGTGCATTTTGCGCTGCTTCCTCGATATCACCTGGGAAATCCGAACTTGAAACAGCCATTTTCTACTAATGAAGATATCAAACGAGTCTATTCAGTGACTTTAGTAGCTGATTTGTGACTATTATTGTTTGACGAGTACTTCAAAGTGACAGGCGAAGTCAACTTGATGTCACCTAAATTGTGTACATAATCGATGAACGCATGTAGAATTGGTCATTATTATCATGTTTCAGGATGAACTATTCAAACGAAATGTTTCAACAAAATTAGAAAATCTTGGCCAAGAATTTTGTCTACTTGTCCAAAAAAACAGTATATTCCGGAATTTCACGCACGTGTTAGGTAAACTATTTTTCCACTAGCGTCCGGAAAAAACTCAAGGGTTGAAACATAAAGAAACACTTATTTTTATTGAATATTCTAATGTCAGTATACTCCCCAGAAACTTCACAAGTACGTAGTGGGCTCTTCCGCACGCTTGTAGAAAAAAAAATACCTAGACACTAGGATGAATACCAACTTCTGACAGCCTCCATCTCTATGAGAATTGGTAGGTAGGTATAGGTACTCACCCAAATTAGAAAAACTACTCGCTTGGAAAATATCACCATGATATGCTCTTCGATGTCAGGATTCGTTCTCACGCATACAGGAGTTCCATAACTCTTTGGAACAATGTATGAATCTGTTGAAATGAAATTATCTGATTTTGCATTATTAACCCCTACCAAATGGGGGGTGCAAATGAAAAAAAATTGGTGGATTTCGCTGAATTTAAAAAAATAATCGTTCGCATTAGTTTTTTGGCGCCACTAGATGGCGATAACAGGACTAGATCTAGACTAGACTATTTTGATCAAAATGTGAATTGAATCCCCCCCCCTCCTTCCATTTGCTGAGGACAATTATGCAAGAGAGCTTTTTCTATATAATTTTTTGTGATTAAACATTTTCTTTTGCTTATCACAGTAGCAAGGAGTTTTTTTCAATATTTCCGAATGAAAAATCATTGAGGAATATGAATACAATTTCAAAAAGAGTTGTCCTTCTATTCAGAATCAAATGGTAGCCTATTTTTTTTCAAAATGTGAATTGAATCCACCTATAGCAGAAAAACTGTCCATTTTTTAGGATTTGTCACCCGATGCTTTGCTGATCAGAATCATATGGACTGCATTATATCAAAAATTCAGCGAAATTCACCGGATTTTTTTTTTCATTTGCACCCCTCATTTGGTGGGGGGTAATAATGCAAAAATGCGGTTTCCATAATAATTCGTGATGGAACATTTCCTATCACTTTTGACAGTTAGATGGATTTTTTTTTCGGTTTTCAAAATAGGCGTGAGGGTAATAATTCTCCCCTATTATATTCTTTTTATGAAAGATCTATTATTAGAAGTAATTATATGGAATAAAAAGTTCTGAAATATAGTTCATTTTGTTACACTTCGTTCATGACGTTACGAAAATACTGCAGAAAACAGAGCTATGCATTATTGTTTACCTACTTTTCACTCTCTTTTTCATTGGTTCATAATTGAATTCATCTGTGATGTTTACTACTGGCTATCGATTGGTATTTCTCTGTTCGTTGTTATTGATTCTAACTCAATTTTTGCTGTAAATAAGGAATTATATTGTGATTTTTAGCCTACTAGTTATCGTTATTGCATACCTCTTGGTCAGAATGTTTTGTTTACAAATTTTGGTAGGTAGGTAGTTGGTTCCTGGAATTGTCACACATGACTGATTCAGTCCACAGGTATTTCGCCAAATTTCATCTTGAATTTCGAGTATCATTCTTGTAATTATTGTTGCCGTTATATTTCCAAATAAATATCATTGTTATGTAATTATTGTAATTATTGAAAATGTCACTGTCAGCTTGATGACGTTTAGTCTCTATTGACGGTAATGACACTAATGACGGATGACCAATATTTGCGAACCTCTGCATGCATCTTCTCGAATTTTCAACATTGTCATCATGGGACATTGACCCATAGTTCCCTTGCTATCATCACGAATACGGGCTCTAACGGCTCACAATCAGCACCATATCTCGTTATGATGATTTGGCACTCTGTATCTTCGCCATTATGTACCTGTTTGTTGATTTGGCACTAATTCCTTGTAAGTATGGGCGTTATGGGTTATGTTACATGGTGATAAAGGGTCATCGCACGGGAAGAAGATGATGACGTATTTCGCCCCACTATTCAGGTCTACAATGATCCTCAGTTGCGCATGACCGCGTTTGAATATTTGAAGTTTCAAATCCAAACAATAATAACTGGCAATAATATATTCTGACTTGAAATAAATGGTGATTTAATGATATTCCTTCTTTTCTGATGGTCTCGACACCTCTCTTGATATTATCGACATAGTTTTCACTACCATGGTGAGGTAGAAATGCCATGTACAGGGTGTTCGCGGGGATATCTCCCGCCTATAATTTTATATCGTCCGGTGATTGATGTGTGTGGGAGTATAGGGGAAGATACACAAAAAAGGGTGATCTTCCGGTGAGATGTGGCAAGGACAGCCCCTTCGATCTTCATAGGCACCATTTTGTCTGCAGCAGTCTACCAGCCTGGTCACAAAAGTAAGCCGTGAGATCTGTTTCTTGAATAATTTCGAATTTGTCTAATATTCGATTTTCCATTACTTAGTGTTGGGATTAATTAGGAAAAGATCTCAAATTTGGGATATCCATTATCATCGCTGGGATGATGGGATTCCTGTTGCCTCTATAGAGGGATTCTTCGTGGCTGAAATCCACGTGGCCGAGCCGACCTACATCACCACTTCTGGGACCCACACAACATCCAAGGTACTATATATTCTTTTAATCATCAGCTGCTATTTTCTTGTCATTCCTTGTGTTGGTAAAATAACGCACGATTGTCGTCCATATAGGGTTCCTTTTATCGGGCTAAAGCCTTCTCTCCCGTTCGTTGCATTCGAGATTTGGCCCCCTTCAGCTCCCTGGGACTGCTGTACTGGAGTCTGCGCTGGTGCGGTAGCTCTGTTTTCGCCTGCTTTGGGAGCCTTTTGGTTTGTGGCTGAAAGGCGACACACAGGAGACACCACCTGACAACGCTGCCTGACTTCACCTGATCCCCCTGTACATCAGAGCCAGATGATACACATCAGGACCTGCTCATAATTTGGTGAGTTCGTTCCATGCACCACCAAGGATAGTATTTTACTTGGGATAAACTACCACCAACCATAATTCATCAGTTTTAAATTTCATTCAACATAATATAATTGCAACATGACATTGATTTAATAGACACTCAGTATAGCTACAAAATATACCCCTGTAAACCAAAAGTGCACTGCGGTAAAATAGGCCTTATTATTTCTTTTGTCTCATTGATACTGATTTACTGAGTTATTTTGTTGATTAATAAGCTATATATTATCATACTGTCTCAGAGAGTTGATTTTGAGCAGTGATTGTACTATTTTACACTGATCTGAAGAGTTGATTTCAGTCAGTCAATTTATATTTCTTGTTGTTGCAATAATTGTACACTGTTCAGGTAATATTACTATTGATACTCAGTTACTTTGGAAGTCTTGAGCCAACTATAGTATCATTTGGAGCACATTATTTGTCATTTCAGAATTTAATTGTGATTAAAAGCATATTCATCCCTATCAAACTTAGTATTTTACTAAGCCTAACGTACCCACCCATTTGTCCCGCTGAACTACCAGTGTCTAGTTTCTACGGTATCAAACTGGGCACTAAAAACACTTTTTCTGTTGTCAATACATTTAAGATTTAAAACACCTAATAAATCTTAGGTAATTCATCAACCAAACTCAGGGGTAAATAAAATTCTATTCCATTTTTCTCACTACTCACCCCCTGAGATTTAAAGGCATAACAGTGGCGCCCAACGTTTATCAGTGGCACAATAGGGTGAATATGTTGGACTTATGAAGTAATAATTGGTGGTAGTGAATTTTTATTTTATTTTTTTGAAAATTTATACTTCCCAATTTGGCTTGAATTTCACATAATTCTGTATATTTTTGAATCTATTTTATACTGTGAATCGCTCTTTTTTTTCGGAAACATTGAATCGACAGGGTGTTTGGACAAAATTACCATTTATTTTTGGAGTTGATGATCAGGAGAGATTAATAGAAGATTACAATTCAGACAATTTTTCTAATGACCTGTGTATTCTGTATAGACTGTTGAGAACAACCTATCGTCAATTTTTAGTTGTACAGGGTATTCAATTTTCAGGTACATTTCTTCTTCACAACTTAAATTTCTATTCGAAAAAAAAAAAACAAGGAATATACCAACATCAGCTAATTATTCTTAATGTAATCAAAAAGTTAGTGAAAGGATTTTTTTTTTCTTTTTTTTTGAATTTTGAATACTGAAATGTACAGGGTTAGGTCATAAAATAATATAGTCAGTTATACAGTATTTGAAGATAGCATTTGTCAATTTTATTAGATTGTATATTTTACAACAGTGAATTAATTTATACAGGGTCATTCCAAAAATCCATTACACTCACATTTGTTATCATTGATCATTGGATATCAATATACAGGGTGTACACATACAGGTGATTCACAGTAATAGATCAAACAATTGATAATATATATATATTTTTCTTATTTACTAGAGGTTTACTCTGGTGAACATAAAATTTTCAGGTCGTGTTTGTTGTTGTACAGGGTGGTCAGCGTGCTGGGTGTATCCGTCTAGGTGTTGTCAAATTTTAGGGATTGTTTCCTTGTTCGTTTTTTTTTCTTCTCTGGGAAGGGAGGGGGTATGCAAACTGTCGTTTGCATGTGCAAATATTTTCATTTTCCCTGATAGTTGATTTCCCTATATTTTTTGTCTGATATTTCAAATTGAATTTGACATTTGATCTTGAATTTTTTTTTTGAATTTTTGATTGAGATTATTAACTATTTTTTTTTTGCTTATCGATCATTTTCGATTATTTCATACTTATTACCAGCCTATTTTGACTTCGAATTTATTATTGCCGAGATTTGAGACTGATAAATTTCAATCGTGTTATTCTATAGTGAGCCAGGCGTGGACTTGAATTTATAACTGATTTTTGGGGTACCGAGAAATTTTAGGATTATCATGGAGATCAATAGACTACGTAGCGATGAGCTAACTTATGAACTTTTGCTTCGCGGTGCATGCCTAGGAAATGGAACAGTTCAGGAAAAAAGGGTGCTATTAAGAGCTGCGTTGCAGGCTGAACAGGAAGGTTCATTACAAACATCCACCATGCAGTTTGATCCTAAAAATGAGCTTTTGATTTGTAATAATAAAGTAACTGAATTATTAGGAGATGTTCAAACATTTGATGAGGACAATTTCGAAAATGAATTTAAAAAAATTCAATCGCGGCTCATTCATGTCTCCAAACGTATTGATAGGCTTCCAGCTAGAATACCGGAAGATGAGATAGAAAGATTGAAATTGACCACCGTAGCCAATAATTTGAAACTTGCATTAGATTGTGCATATAGGGCTGCTAGGAGAAAATCATCTAATACTACTTCAGCCAGTAATACTGTTCCCACAAATAATAATACTCCTCCAAATGCCAGTTCCACCAGCCATTCTTTTGTAGATGATCTGATTTCATTTGACGAAGCAGAGGAACATGTCAA